TGGGGGCCCTTCTCCCCCCGGCGGTGGAGTGCAAAAAGGGTGGGGGAAGCCCATTGTTTTTTGGGGAAAATCCCCTTTGGAACCCCCCTCCCTCTTTTGGGGCAGTTTTTTTTTCCCCGGATTCCCCTAGAAATTGGGTTTGGGGGGGGGGGGATAGTTATTAAAAAGGGGTTTCCCCAATAAAAACCCCTTTACCTTCCTGCCCCACCAAAAAAATAGCCAGAAATTTTGGGGGGGGGGGGGGGGGGGCGCCTGCCCCTTTGGACTCACTTCCGGTCCGAGATGATGTCGAAATAGTGGCACCTGCCGTCTTCGTATCCAGGTCTCAGGGGCGTCGTGCCCACCACCTCCTCCCATTGCTGCGAGCGGCCAAGCGCACCATGTATTGACGGTATCAGATGCGGGTGAAAACAAAGCGATAGTAGAAAAATAATGCGGTACAAATGAGGATGCGGATGAGCAAGCAGACTGACGGGATACATGCCCGGGGGGGGGGGGGGAGGGGGGGTGCTTAGTGCCCTGCGGACCACAATGCTGCTTTGTGCCGTAAGGCTGAGTTTGGGCTAGTTGGACGATTTGTTTCAGGTTCAGCTGTGTTTTGGTGACACACACCCCGACAGTTCTCTACGTACCGCAACAACTTGCGGCGGGATAAGGCAAACAGGTTGTGCGATCGATCGGTTTTTTACAGCTCGATCGCTCCACAACCAAGAGGCTTGGGCAACGTCCGAAGGAGGGTGGCTCTGGAAAGAGCTTTCCTTGCTACGCGTCGGCTACGCGTCGGCCGGTGCACTGGCAGCCGCTTGGTAGTGGAGATACCGGGCTACAGAAATTGAGCACACACCTGTGCGTTCGCGCGTACTTCCACGGTACTGTACTCCCGAGTATCAGATACGCGCTAGGGTTTTGGAGTCAAGAGACGCCAACGCTACCTATCCCGCTGCAGCTCCTAGAGCATCGAGAGACCTCACACCAATATGAAGCCGGCTGCGACTGTTACACGGTACGCACATTTTGTGACTTCATGAAGCCCACCAGCAAATCAATCCTGGTGATGGGAAAACAAGCGGACATCGGACGTCATCGAACACCCAGGTGGGATCAACTCATGACCCATTCCTCGCCTTCGACCGAGTCCTTGTCGGTCTCATGAGACAAATATTACCCTCTCCACACACGGGTGAATTGATCATTGGTCCAAACACGCCAGTAAACGTTGGCGTATGGAAGAATAGCTTAGTTATACGATCGCCCCAGCCCAGAGCTGCTCATCTCCAAGGGTGAAGTCGAAGCACCGCATGAGCCACGAACCACACCCTTCTCGAGGAAAAAAATAGCAGTCTTGGTCGAAAAAGCGATGACCACACCCGTGCCTTGCCGCTGCTATGCATACGCGCATGCACGTGGGGAGAAGGACAAGGGCACAGAGCGCACCTCAGATCCCAGCGACGCAGCCCTGGCCATCTCGTCCGCGCCGGCGGCGGACCCTAGTCGGTCCTTTGTCCACGCCCTGCCCAGCTGCGTCAACGCCTCCTGTATGTAGCAGTTTGTGTCCACGGGGAAGACGGAGAAAGGGGCGGTGGGTGACGAGCGGCAAACATTGGCATCGACCTGGCAACACAGGAACGACTCCGCGGCTTGAGCAGCGCAGTTGTTGTTGTTGTTGTTGTTGTTGTTGTTGTTGTTGTTGTTGTCGTTGCCTTCACACTAAAACCGTTCCGTCCGCTCTACCCAGTACCTTCTTCTGCCCGTACTAGTCCAACACTTTACTAGAACCACATTAAGCTCGTAGAGAGGGTAGGTCGCCAGGGTGCACATATTTGGGCTAGGGGGTTCACCTAGGACAAGTGGCATGGTTAAAGCTACGCAAGAGACACGCAAAACGGAATCATGTACAGGTGGCTACAGCGTGACTTCCAGCAGGTATAACGGTCGTCGCTGCCTTAAGGCCAACTGTTTTTTTAGAAACCATGATGCCGCGCAGAATGCAAACAAACACAAGAGGGGGGGGATAGTTTGAAAGGATACGTCCCCCCGATTATTGTTTTAAGAAACCCAATAAGCGTCGATCAAGTGGGAAGGACGGTACAACTACCGCAGCACACGTATAACACCAACGCCAACTTTCAGTTTTCTCGGACTCTTTTTTGGTTTCAGAACTCAATCGATGGCAACCTGGCAACTAACTGGGCGGTAACGAAGCGATTAGTGTTGGGCAAGTCGGAGCAACCATCGAAGCGTTACCGCGGCCGGCATGCCCGTGCCTACGACCAGCGCATGACCAACCGTGCAGCGTTACTATCTCGCCGCTACCACCTACGCCAAGATATACCCCTCCCATTTGCTGCTTAGCCAGAGCATGTTAATGCCTGGCGCCAAGGAATGCAACACAAGGTCCGATGAACGTCTTCAACACCCGCGCGTACTGGTTGCTCCTTGCGCGCAAAGACTGCTTCTTCGAAAAAACAAACACCTGATGCCCACTTTAACTTTCCCACGAGAATCGGTGAACTCTAAATCGCCACTAACGTCATGAATACCTCTGTGAATGGTATTTCAGGAAAACTGGAAGGTAAAACGCTGTATACAAAAACGGCCACTTAATACCATTCACGTGGACGCATTCATGACTGACCCAAACTGTAGCGCCGCCTTGGCAATGGAAACACTCACAGGCTCCTGCGGAAGCCAGGCCCCCTGGAGAGAGAACCGCGGCGCCTGGTTTCCCGTGAAGAAGGCGGTGTCCACCTTGACGCCCCGAATGCGGCCTGGCAGTCCGAGCCTACAACGGTAATTAATTGCGGTGGGAAGAGCGCCGGCAGTAGCGTAGGGGAAGAAAGGAGGAGCGACATCGCTAGCAGCGTAGCCGTGGTAGTCGGAAAGGGGTGGGAGTATACACTAGCAGCAGTGCATGGAGGATTCACCCGCGGGGGGGAGGAGGAGAAAAGTAGCAGCAGCCGCCGCCAACCAGCGATGCAAGTAGGGAGCCGGTAGATAGCGGTTGGAGGAAGGAAAGGACGACAAACCGAGCATGGTACGGCACAAAGGGCCACCGCATGGCAAAGCTGCAATGTTTGTTGTCCTGTCTATCAATGACGAAACATCTGGGGGTACCCGTACCCCACGAACAAACCACCCTCCCGGTGCTACCTCGGCCATTGTTCACCGCCTATTTATCCTTTTGCAAGTCAGGTATGCATACACCATCAAGTAGGGGTGGGGAGAGGGGAGAGGGTAGCTCACTGGAGCACCTTCAGTTGTTTGGTTGCGGAATTTCTTTGGGGCTACTGTAGTCGAAGCTTGCCGATTGGGTCAGTGCGGAACACGAGAGGTGCTGGAAAAAGCCGAAAACTATATTTGAAAATTAAGACAACACACCACCACCCTCACCCCCAACCCCCATCACCAACAACAACAACAACAACAACAAGAGCATCGTGCCGCAATGCCACCGCCCTTCCCAACCCACTCACTTGATGATACACCAATCGTGCCCCGCCACACGCTTCCGCCGAGATTCCCACCCGTCCATCCACTTGCCAAACTCCGTGAACTCGTCGTTAAAAATAGGCTCGCCAGGCAGAAGCAGCCGCGCGGCTTCTCCGAACCACTCTGGGCGAGGGGTGTTAAAATAGCACGTAGATAGTCGGGGGTTAGAACACAATTGTCATGGCATTCTAGGATATGAAACGCAACTAACTGCCATCGCTACCTGGTCGTTGGCAAATCGGTGCCTCCGGCAACACAAGTGCGTGGCGTCTCCGAGCCACTCCGGTCCATCGCATATATCACCACGCTTGAAGAGAGGTACTTGAGTCAAGCGTTGTTAGAGAAACACATCTACCGGTGATCCCTTCCTTTCTCTCGCTGTCGGTGATCGCAGTCAAATCATCGTGCTGGAAAGACCCATTCACCTACCATAAGGTCGAATAGTGCCAAGGGATTCGGTCGGCCTTATACCGAGCACCCAGCATCATTCAGAGCTTCAACTTTTATTTGTGTCACGCGAGTTCACCGGCCTTACACAGGGACGCACTGCTGTAGTAAGCAGGTCATATCGTACCACGGGTCAACATTGTCTTGTAGGCGGATACAGCAATACGGAGAGTCGTGCGTGTGGTAAACCCATACCTATTAAGATTGAAGCGGTCGAGTGTCTCGTATCAATGGCAACGTCGACTGGGTTGCAAATGGTCGGTCGTGGCTGCTGCTTAATTCGAATTCTGCTGCAAGCAAAATTGACGACCCTCTAAGCCGTACGACGGTCAGATCAATACCTTGCCACGATTAAACATGCAAAGATCGATTGTTTGGCACCGTAGAAACGCGAGTGATCCCAAACCTGATTGAGACCGAGCCTCAAAGCCTGATTGCTCCACAACCAAGAGGGCGGGAATACCGACCGACACGAGCAAGGGAAGATCTAGACGATATATTTCCCAAACCATCCCTTTTTTCGGCATCGGTGACCTGCGGAGCTGTAAAGATTGATATTTGGGCTTTTCCCAAGGTGGCACTGCTGTAGATTAGTTGTATCTCTCACCGTCCGTGGCGAAGTCGACCGTACCGCCGAAGGTAGCGCTCGCCAGGTTGGTCATGTTTGTCCATTCCGGGGCCTTTCTCGCCATCCCTCCAAGAACGACGGGCGGCGATGCCGATTTGCGGCGACTGCAGCAGCGTCTACCCCTGTCCGGGAGGACCCAGACATGACGGAGGAGTTGTTGTACAGAGCGGGCCCGCAGTTTATTAATACTTTCGTTGAGAAACAAAGGCTCAATATTTCACGGGCAATACGAAAACAGGCGTAAGAAATTTGACGGATAGACTAGAAAGGCAATGGTTTGGGGTGGATCCCGGTACTAGTTGAGGTGCAGCGACGGCGGTCTCACAACATTTCTTCAGGACCCTGACATGGCCAAGAGAGCGATCAAATGGAGGGAGACCACAGAAGGATCCGAATCCAATGATAACTCAGACCTCTTCGACGGCAGCCTCTCCTCTTGATCGGTACCGAGTTTGGTGGACGCGCTTGAACGGCGGAAGTGTGAGCCTCGAAGGTGGCTTGTGGATGCGGGAGAAGGTCTTCGGTCGTGGGTACGTTTGTGCTTTGACCATCTGTGTTGCTAAGAGCAAGACTACTTGAACAGGAGCTGCGGGTGACACAAGCTCTAGACTAGGGTCCCTGCAGATCCACAGAACTCTTAAGCCGCCCCATAGGGAATATGCCAAACTCCCCAGGAGGTAATTCCTATGTACCCACAACTACATAACCGTAACAGAAACACAGCTCAGCGGTGGATCTTAAACTAAAGCCTACCACGTATATAACAACCTGTGCTCGACAGCGTGGTGATGAAATAAGAAACTCGTTCCCCGACCCGATTGTGACATTTCTTGTCTCTGGCACGTTCTGCACTGGTGCGTGCATGATGTTTGTGCGCATGGAAAACAATCACAAGGTCAACGTCGGCGGCGAAGATAAACAGGGACGGGTGGACATAATTGACGTTTTGGTTGAGTTTTTCTTCGCCTCTTGTGGTTTCATCTGTTTCGTTTGGGTTTGGAACGCATCGTGACATCTCTTTCCAACGCGGAAGTCTATAAAAGGGGCCAAACAGAGTATGTATCGATGTTTCAACTCCTCGAATGGAGTAGTAAGGCACATGGTCTAGTCGGGAGCACACTTGTTTCGGGATGGGCCTTTTGTCGAAAAGGTGTCGAACACGACAGCACTCCTCTCTAGAAGTGAATTTTCGATACAGCAATATTGCGGTAGGACGAACACAAACAACGAACGGACCGGATGATGAGTTGTTGTTGTTGTCGTTGTCTTCACATTAAAAACCGTTCCGATCTCTCTACCCAGTACCTTCATCTGTCGGTACTATTATAGTCTAACACTTGACGCGGTCGGTTCCTGTGGTCACAGGCTTACCGCTGTAAATAACAATAGACCTTCCGCAAGACACTACTATTCTACTTCTTCTATAGTAGATGGGAAGTGGTAAACGAGACCCGCGAGTCGCGTTTTACAAACATGACCCCGGGGACAAAACACTACCACCCCCGGGGTATCGAATAAAAAAACGATGCCCCGGGGACAAAACACAGCCATTCCGGGGGTATCGTTTATTAAACGACATCCCACGGGGACAGGACACAGCCATCCCCGGGGTTTCCCCTTTACAGTAGGGGGCCCTATATAGTGCACTTTGAATAGTGCAATAGCCCAATATAGTGCAGGTAAAATCTCTGGACACGGACAGCGCCTTCAATAGTGCAGATCCCGCACTATTGAGGGCAGATACCCGCTGTAGTGCACGTTGGGCACCGCGTTGCCCCGCAATAGTGCAGGTTGGAGAAACATTAACATTAACATTCACACACACACGCGACAAAAAAAAAAAGACACACACGAACAGCGGACAGACGCAACACAAAACGCGGGTGCACGTACGTGCTGCTGCAGACCCGAAGAGCTCTACGCAGCGCAGAGGTGCACCATGCCTTGTGCGGATGGTGAACTGTGCCACCAACCAGACAGGACGCCGCAAGCCCCCCATGGCCACGTCTGTCATGGAGGATGTGGCGGACGGCTCCACGGCAACTGCGGCAGCATGTGTGACGACAACGAAACACGCCGAATCTGCAGCACGTGCGCCGCCAAAGCTAGCAAGCGCAAAGATGCACTAGCTGAGGGTGCTGGGGCGGGACCATCTCAACGCCCGACGAAAAAGAAACGGGGGAGTGTGAAGGGCGTATCTTCCGGCTGCGACGAGGATGATGAAACGGAGGACGGCGGTGGCGGTGAGAGCACGGGGCGCGAGCGCCGTGCTCCACCGGCTTATGGTGAGCTGTCGTCTCACTTCGGCGTCCTGGAATCGGCAACAGATGAGAGCGGCAACGGAGACGGGGCGTTCCATCTGCAGAAAGCAAAGATGGCGATGATCGCAGCGCATGCCGCTAAGGGGGTGCGCCAGGCAGACATGAGAGAGTTTGTCGAGACGTAGTGAGGGCGGGGGGTACGTGGTTGTTTTATTTTTCTTTGCAGTGAGTTTCCTTCCTGTGTGCCTTTCTCGTTTCTATTTTTTTTTTCCCTGCAACATCGCAGCGGGTGCGCCGGGCAGGCACAAGGGAGTTTGTCACGACCGTGTGGTAAGGGCGTTGGGTGCATGGTTGTTTGACTTTTCAATGCAGTGAGCTTCCTGTGTGCTTTTCTATTTTCTTTTCTTGCCACATGGCAGCGGGTGCGCCGGGCAGGGCTCAGTCAGGAGAAATTGTGCCTGTCTTAGTTTTATGTGTGTGATGGTTGTTGCGAAATCGAAGCTGATGCCCCAGGCAGACATGAGGGTTTTATCACCACGTAATGATGATGGCAGGGGGCAGCAGTACATGGTTGCTCATTTTTTTGCAGTGCGCTTTCTGTCGTGTTTCTTTCCTGTTTTGTCTTTTTCTATGTTGCAACATCGAGGGAAGGCAGGCAACGAGGACTGAGACATAGCTTCGTCCACGCACCCACCCACCCACAAGCTCTCTGTACCACCTCTTCCTCTTACCCCCTCGGACACAGACACAATCAATCTCGATCCATTCGTACTCTGTTGGCCCCGCAAAGTGTGAACGCCACGCCCACATCGTGAAGTCAAAGAGTGCCTCAAGAGTGCAGGTTATGGACTATTGAGGGATATTCAAAGCCCCAATAGTAGTGCCGAACCTGCACTATCGAGGGCACTCTTATCAGTAGTGCAGGTGCCCGCTATAGTGCAGGTAAAGCCTCTCGACAGACGCCTGCACTATATAGGGCCCCCTACCGTAGCTAGATACGACAGATAGAAGTTAGTGCAGCAATTCTAATTATATTAAAAGGCAACGCCTGAAGACACCAAGCAAAAGAGGGGTGTACCGCAACAGGAGGGTGCTTTGCACATTCTAGTTCGCATTAAAAACCCACAAATAATCAACACTTCGCATATCAGCCACCTGTCTGTTCGTTGTGTTCAACATGTTGCAGTACGCAGTACGCAGATCCTGGGCTCTTCAGCAGTGTGCGTCAATAATGCGTCACAACCCAGAAGCACACCTCTCACAAATGGAAACATAAGAATGGGACCCTTAGACGGGTGAAGTCGTTGCACTGCAGCAGCTCGTCGTCGAGGTACAGTAGCTACAGCTTCAGTTCTAAACCTTGGCTGCTTTCTCGCAAGCACGCAAGCAGTATTGAAAGCTGCCTTGCATGCGCGAGCATGTACCGTATGCTTCTGCCTACAACACGTATCTTGGCTCACCGTTGATAATCCCGAGCTTTTCCGCGTCTAGATGGCGGCCAGATAAAGGATCGCCAGCAATATGGGAAAATGGGCCACCAGCTGCGGCGGTTGTTCAAGACACTATAGAAAGGGCGGTGTGCGGGAGCGTGTGGAGTGTGGGACGTGGGATGGGGTATGTAGAGTGGTTTGCTCGCAACACGAAGTGCCAAAAAAAGGTTCGCAAAAAGGGTTCCGGGTTGGAGGGTCTGGTCTGTTGTGTCTGTCGTCTGTTGGGTACTGAGCTGAGAGACCAGGGTGGTTTACAGCGCGAAGGAAAAAATACCAACCTCAACCAATCTCCTTGCCAGGCAGGCGTGAATACTCTTTGAACCCAGAGAGAGGCCACAACAAGTTCTACGCCCTACGACAACGTCGGGCAGCCCAACTGCTGTTGATTTAGCCACCCCAACCGTCGAACGAATAGCGCCATAATAGCGCCCTACT